AATGTCTAATGTAAATCTATAAGAACATTGCTTCATTAGATTTTTGACCTGCACCCTTATAATCAAATAATTTCCTACCAGAACGTGGATATGAAAGGATCCATATGTCATCAGCCCTGACTTCAAAATCTTTCATCTCATCATGAACTGTTGGTCTGATATACTGTGGATAAGTGAATCCATCTACTATGTTCACAGGGAATGCTTCTCCCAGATCATCCTTTATGATTGTAGGTGTTCCTTTAGTCACAACGATATTATCAAATATTCCTCCAACTGCATAGTTTGTTTCTGCCATGACCTCCCTGCTCTCCGTCCTCTATCAAGTTCAGTTATAAAGTGCAGTGATATATTTTGACCAACTGACTATTAATTGTGTCAGTCTGTCCTACATATAGGTAGTTGGCCCTCTTGCAGTTTTCATTAAAGGTGCAATATACCCAAATATTTTCTCTGTTAAAGGTGTATAGTACTATACCCAAACATATTCTCTGTTAAAGGTATATAGTACTATACCCAAACACATTCTCTGTTAAAGGTGTATAGTACTATACCCAAACATATTCTCTGTTAAAGGTGTATAGTACTATACCCAAACATTTTCTCTGTTAAAGGTATATAGTACTATACCCAAACATTTTCTCTGTTAAAGGTATATAGTACTATACCCAAACACATTCTCTGTTAAAGGTGTATAGTACTATACCCAAACATTTTCTCTGTTAAAGGTATATAGTACTATACCCAAACATTTTCTCTGTTAAAGGTGTGTAGTACTATACCCAAACATTTTCTCTGTTAAAGGTGTGTAGTACTATACCCAAACATATTCTCTGTTAAAGGTATATAGTACTATACCCAAACATTTTCTCTGTTAAAGGTGTGTAGTACTATACCCAAACATATTCTCTGTTAAAGGTATATAGTACTATACCAAAACATTTTCTCTGTTAAAGGTGTGTAGTACTATACCCAAACATTTTCTCTGTTAAAGGTGTGTAGTACTATACCCAAACATTTTCTCTGTTAAAGGTGTGTAGTACTATACCCAAACATTTTCTCTGTTGGTAGCTTATAGTAGGTAGGGTTCATGACTAAGGATGACAACTTGATCACCACAATTGAAAATGAAAATTAAGAAAGGCATTTTACGTTTTCTTCTATACATGTACTTGTAATGCTATAGTGTTTAAGTTGCATATAGTAAACCAAGATTCATAATAGAACAAGTGCTGCTAATACTAGCAGAAAAAATATTTGAGCATAGGTTTCCTTTAATACTGTTTTAAGCAGGGCGTTGTTTTGACCTTGTAACTGAATTAACTCTCTGCTGTCAATGATTTATTTTACAGTAATGTTCTGCATTATTGCTTAAGTTAAGTATTAAGTAGAGTTGAACTAAATATTTTGAGAAACCTTGACCTGTATTTATGAACTTACCTACTTTAGGTTCTACAGGGTGTGCAACTTTTTTAAAAGGCTAGAAAAGTATAACATTACGGTATTGGCACACAAAATCATTTACAAAAACTTAAGGATAGGCATTGTTTACCATTCAAATACTTAAGCTAAAACTTGACTTAATCTTTTTTGTCAGATCTTAGAATATCAATGGTCAATTGGTCATATGTCCGAGATTTACTGTTTTTCCTAGAAAATGTGACTTTTGTATGATTTTATGTGATCAACAATAACACATTCATTATGTTGACTAAATATGCTACAATCTTGGATAACTGTTTAAACAATGTCTAGTACAGGTTTATATCAGTATCTAGTCACAATGGTATTATGTTATACTGTATCTTCGTATTAATTATTTATTTAACCAATGCTCTATGCTTCCGCCTTTCACCTTCACTATCATTCCCAGCCATCGGGCAAGAGTCACTTTGGGATATCTGAAGAAGATTACCCCTCCATTCATTAGTCCTGATGTCATTCTTTCCTTGTAGATTTTATTAAACATCTCATTCTATGCCACAATAAAGTGTTGTTTCATGTTTTTGTAAAATTACATAATCTTAAGTATCTAACATGTTGTCATAGACAAATCGGATTCCCTTCATTCTTGTCTTGTAGACTTTATTAAACATCTCATTCTGTGCCACAGTAAAGTGCTGTTTCCATGCACCAACTTCCCCTGAAATATAGATGAAACAGAATTTACTGTAATTGATATCATCTATTTGGAATCTAGATGCTCAAATAAGCTTTTAAGAAATATCTGGGTAGAAAAGATGTTAAACACCTTTATTTTATATTTTCATCTTATATTTATCAAAATCCAAGAATTGTTAGTTTAGCTTTGTACGAGTATAAGTGACCAAATATTAGGTATTTACATGTGATATTGAGCGAGGATCCATACAGAATTTTACAGAAAAATATTAATTCAGATATCTTTTTCAATTTAAACTGTGCAAATGAAGTCTCACAATACATGTAATAATATAAGGCACTTGTTCCTCAATTTTTGCTTCACCTATTGTAATTTTATTCTTCTCTTTTGTGGCTATGCTCCCACTCTAGTGACATTGATTATATACCCTTTACTTAAGAAAAGTAAAAGATTATGATGAGACTTTGTTTTTTGTTGATCACGTTCAATTTTTAAAACCTTTTCTGAACATCATATCTGCTCCCCTTCTATCTCTTGTATAGGGATCATATTCTTCATTGCGAGATTGTATGACATCAATATGTGTTTCATCAACCTTTTTCTTGTAATCTTCTTCACTCCAGCTTACGCCTAAATATTTAGCTATCTTCTTTATGGTACCAAGTGTATCCTAGAAATGTACACATCCATCTATTAAACTATTAAAATTGATCAATTAATTTATGTTTTCATGAGGGGTATAAGAAGGTAAAATATTTTGTTATTATTAGATTTTTATTCAATAAGGATTGAACAAGGTAGTTTATTTTCATTTTCAGGGTGGCAGCAATTTTGAAATGTTTTTGGCCCACTCTGTATGTTTTGTTTGGTGGCACTTACAGATTTTTCTAGTTCATAAGCTTTGAAAAATATTTGCTGTGCATTTATTACATTTTGAGTCTCCAAATATTTTAAAAATCACCACACAAAATACTAACATTTTGGTTTTTTTCATATGTGAGGAACAGCATATTTCTTTTGGAACATTTTTGTTCATTTTATTCTGTATTATTTATTTAGAAATCCATGTTAAGAAATGATATAAAACCCAAAGTTATACACTGGTTATTAGGATCTATATCAGATGAAGTTACACACAAAACTATGTCTCTATATAATGGGAAGGTTCTCCATAAAGCTGATGCAACAGATGAGTTTATAAATCACCCAAGAATTAGTCTGGAGGAAGATTAATACTCCGTTGAATTGTTCAGCCAAACTGAATTAAGGAGATCCCTAAGTTAATCACAAATCTTCTAATTAAGCACATGATTGTTAAGGTCTATTACCCATGCAGAAAATCTCTTGATCTCCTTATGATCATTGTGAAATATTGTGTTTTGTGGATTATGTCATCAGGTTTGTGGATGGATGTTGACCCTTTGTTATGCTTATGGACTTCAAGACTCAATTTTGTCTATCCCACATCATTTAGACTGGGTGCTCTATTTTGTATGAATTTTGTCTATCCCGCATCATTTAAGACTTGGTGCTCTATTTTGTATGGATTTTGTCTATCCCGCATTGTTTGTTACCGGAGTATTTTTTGTCTGGTTTTTGGTTGACTGGCTTTTGGGTTTCAAGAAAGGGCTGCCCTAGGCGTAGTGAAGCTTTTGAGAAAAGTTCAGTGTTGAAGTGGTCCCATTGAAAATTCATTTGCTTCTTGTTGAGTCTAAAGTTTTCATCATAGAGCTTAGCTGTTTGAAAGTTTCCGTATTGGGCCATTTCTCTAATATCTTCACCATATTTCAATAGCTTGGTGACCTCATTTTTGTGTGCTTGGCAATAAATTGATGTGTAAATGTGAAAAGCAGTTGTCCAATTGTTTATATTGTATATCAGGTTCTTTACCTTTGGGGGGTTAACAAGATCGCTTATAGCTTGACTTAGGGGGTTAACTAGTTTTGGTCTTAAATCTTGAGTGGCTGTTAATAGTTGGTTGAAATCTACATAGGCGTTTGAGACAATTTGTTTTTTAATTTTTTCTTCAATTCTGGATGTTAGGGGAATTCCTGCCCCTGTTAATGGAATAATATTTTGTGGTGCCAAATGATAGGACTCACCCGCACTGGCCTCTTCTGTGGGAGCCTTCAGGAAGTTCTCTATAATCTCTCCCATGTTTGAATCTGGCGGAGAAGCTGAAGTTGAAGGCGACGGTTCCTGCTCTTGCCTGAGCTTTTTGAACAAAGACTCCACAATTGCATCCCTGTCAGCTTCACTCAGACTTCCTGATTGTTTTCTCTTTTTCCCCCTATTTTGAGTGGCAGGTTCAGAGGCTGTATCCCCTTGCACTATGGTTGACCTATTTGCACTTCTTAGTTTTGGCATTGTGGTTTACCTGGAATACAGAGGGCAGCCAGAGAATTTTTGGAAACATTGTGTTCTTACAAAAATAAGGTTATGAGGAAATGATTAAATTGCGTCTCATAATGAGAGACTAATATATAACACATATAAAAAACAACATGAGTACTGCATCTCATAATGAGACGACTCATATATAACACATATAAAAACAGCATGAGTACTGCATCTCGTAATGAGACGACTCATACATAACACATATAAAACAACATGAGTACTGCATCTCATAATGAGACGACTCATATATAACACATATAAAACAACATGAGTACTGCATCTCATAATGAGACGACTCATATATAACACATACACAAACAGCATGAGTACTGCATCTCGTAATGAGACGACTCATACATAACACATATAAAACAACATGAGTACTGCATCTCATAATGAGACGACTCATATATAACACATACGAAAACAGCATGAGTACTGCATCTCGTAATGAGATGACTCATACATAACACGTATAAAAACAACATGAGTACTGCATCTCATAATGAGACGACTCATATATAACACATATAAAAACAACATGAGTACTGCATCTCATAATGAGACGACTCATATGTAACACATATAAAAAACAGCATGAGTACTGCATCTCGTAATGAGACGACTCATACATAACACATATAAAACAATATGAGTACTGCATCTCATAATGAGACGACTCATATATAACACATATAAAAACATGAGAACTGCATCTCAAATGAGACAACTCATATATAACACATATAAAACATGAGTACTGCATCTCAAATGAGATCGTTCATACCAGAACAACTAAATGTTTACAACTTAAGATATTACTCTGCTGGGAATGATGGTGGTGATAAGGACTTACCAATATGGATATCCCTAGTAAGGATGAGTGATCTTTTTAGATTATCATGAAATCTTTGGAGGCCTATGTCATTTAGATGAATTCCATCCCAGATAGTTTGATTCTTAAGTCCGTGAAGGTTTAAACCTTTGTTTGGAAAAATCATTATTTGTTCCCTTGCTAGATGAAAATTACACTTTTTGGCAGGCTTTCCTAATAAATGCCATATATATTCATTCACTTTATCCACTTTTTTGTTATAATCACTTGTACTTGGATGTATTCGGTGGAATAATAGCCCAATGCTGACGCATTTTACAAATTCATGTTGCAACAGATAGTTGCCAACTGATATAATGGCATTGGCAATCCTCTCCGGGTCTGAACCAGGGATGTCAATATCATTCTCTCCCATCTGGAGATAAATCAGCTCTGGTGCAAGTGTTGATATTTGTTTATACAAATGTGGAAGGAGGTGTTTTTTCTTGTTTTGAGATGATGATGTTAGAAGAACCCCTCCCCGTATACCTTGACACTCGATTTCAAATTCTGATGCGTTTAATTTAAAGTTAGGTGAGCTTTTTTCAGTGAAGTTCCTCAGCCAATATATGAATGATTGTCCGAATATGAGAGTCTTTACCGCTGCCATACTAATCCCAGCAGAGTACAAATAGGTTAGGTGTAATGTACACTTACCAAGTTTGCTGATAAAACTGATTTCCTAAGCACTCGTAATATCCAATTGTAAGGCTTGATGACCTGTGTTTGAGTCAACTCTCCTTTTTATGAATTTAAAAAACTACTACAAAAGATTTTTACTATAATATAAATCTATATATATATATATATAATGACTATGAAAATCAGTTAAAATCTATTTTGTAAATGTATCGATATCTAGGCTCTAGGCTGTAAGTTGAAATATCTGTGAATGAGACTAGGTAGTTTGTGAAAACAGAAACCCTAGAGCCTGGAAGATTCTGATTGGTTACTGATGTTAGAAGTTTAAAAGGTTAAATATTGCATCACCACACAAATATCCTAATGAAGCATTAGGGTCATTTAAGACTTGGTGCTCTATTTGTATGGATTTTGTCTATCCCGCATCATTTAAGACTGGGTGCTCTATTTTGTATGGATTTTGTCTATCCCGCATCATTTAAGACTGGGTGCTCTATTTTGTATGGATTTTGTCTATCCCGCATCATTTAAGACTGGGTGCTCTATTTTGTATGGATTTTGTCTATCCCGCATCATTTAAGACTGGGTGCTCTATTTTGTATGGATTTTGTCTATCCCGCATCATTTAAGACTGGGTGCTCTATTTTGTTTGGATTTTGTCTATCCCGCATCATTTAAGACTGGGTGCTCTATTTTGTATGGATTTTGTCCATCCCACATCATTTAAGACTGGGTGCTCTATTTTGTTGGATTTTGTCCATCCCACATCATTTAAGACTGGGTGCTCTATTTTGTTGGATTTTGTCTATCCCACATCATTTAAGACTGGGTGCTCTATTTTGTTGGATTTTGTCTATCCCGCATCATTTAAGACTGGGTGCTCTATTTTGTTGGATTTTGTCTATTCCACATAATTTAAGACTGGGTGTTCTATTTTGTATGGATAATAGTATCTACAACTATTTTTGATGTTATGAATATTGTTTATCAATTTTTATTTCATTCTTCAACATACAATGTACATTGTAATATTTTCTGTATAAATGAAATGTCTCTTGGTGTTATGGTCCTAGATTGTGACATTGGTTCTTGAATATTTGAGGAATGGCCTTAGACTCTCATTTCTTTTCAGTTGCTTTAAGTACCTTTTTCAATCTCACATATAAAGGTCTCTCTTCAATATCTTTCATTAATAGATAACTTGTGACATTGATACAACTGGTAAATTGTTTTTCTAATATTCTCTTGTTATTTGTTCAGTAATTTTCTCCATCTTGAAACAATTGCAAACATAATTATATAATACAACACTGTATTAACCTATGCGTATCATAATATGTTTTTACAAAGATATTAATTTGTAATTAAAAGCCATTGAAAGAGGAAATAAGTGTCATTGTAACTGGTTGCCATGGAAACATATCATATTCTTAACCACATCTCAGGTAACACCACGCTATAACTATCTCATCTGAAATGTTTTTTCATCTTCCCTTGCTCAGTCTTCTCAGTGTTCATCATACAGGAGCTGAGTGAATGAAATTGATGTTTTATATCAGGCAAAAAATGCATCTTTTAGGTTTGGTGAAGATCAAACTAGCAGAATCACACCATGGATTAAATTTTTTTTGTCCATTTGACTTCTTATTTTAAGTACATTTGTTGTTTTAGGTTCCATGGTAAAAACAGTAAAATCTGGAGTTCTTTATATGTTTGGTGTCACAGCTACTATCAATATCTCAAGAACTGTAAGTCAGATTCTATATTGTCAATGCTTTATCTACTGGTTATTGAAGTCTTTATAGATCATGATAAGATTTTTAAGATTCTTAACAATCTAAAAATGAGAGATATGTATGTTGTGGTATTTTAAGCCCATTTTAATGCATACTAGAATATCAATGTGGGAGTGATTGCTTTTGTAAATTGCTTAAAAGACAGTTAGTAAGGAAGACTAATACAAGTCGCAAAGTGCTATTTTATGTTTCTCTTAAAATTCACTTAGAAGGAATAACAATTTACACTCACTAGATATAGTATAAAGCATCCCTTCCAAGATATGCAACAGTAGCTGAGAATGTAGAAATTCTCAACCAGTTGTTATTTTAAAATGTAAAAAAGTTGTAAAATCATTTAAGGCAGGTAAGAGGGCATGATATTCTCAATCAATACAGCAAACAAGACTATTTCTTGAAAAAGGGAGACTATTTCTTGAAGAAGGGATGGGAGAGATTAACTCAGAAAACCAAAAATATTTCTTGTGCTTTAGAATATTACATTACATAACTGGGTATAAACTTCCTCAACTCATTGTTGTTCCCCTTTTCGGTTTATAATATCAAAACAGTGAAATCTCTTAATGTTCTCAAATCAGGAACCCCGACTAAAGATTAAAAACATGATTGGCTCAATTTTAAAGGTGCAACAAGTAGTGCAGAGGGGCCATTCAACGATCATGGACCAGTATCAAAATATATTTAAGTTTGGATATTTTATCAAGACTAACATCTATTTTTATTTTCTACAAAGAAACCCCCTAGATAATCATTATTTGAGCTTATATTCCTCTTGAAACATGGTGGATCTTAAAAATATAAAAGTGGACATCCCCTTTTTGAAGCTTTGAACTGAATTTACACTTTTTAATGCTGAAATTGACAGTTTATCCATACATTTTAAGAAAATAGGTATGTCGAAGAAGATGCTAAGCCAACTGTTGCCTTGATAGCTCAGAAAAAGTTAAAATTTTCCTATTTTCTCTCTACAAGCCTTATTGCCCCTTTAACATTGGCGGCATTCAACCCATTGTCCAATAGGCAACTGTTTTTCCTTTGCCAAGAGTGAAAAGTGTTTGCCATTGGCTGATGAACAGCTGTGAGTTTTTAACTTTGGTAAGGGTTGTTTTTCTTGGTTTTAAATCTTAAAAGATATTTTGATGGATCAGGCTATTGCACAACGTATTTCCCTTTTTATGGATGTATAGTGTGCACTTTTGTGACATGATGTTGAAAATTGTCAAACTTTTTCACTATTTTGTCGTTCTCTAAAACACACTATCTTAAAGTTTGCGATGTCTACTGATAAAAAAACTAAAAAATGTGAAATCTCTGTCCAGAGATGTCTTAGAGGATTTCTCGTCAGTGCAATCAATTTCACTGTTCACTATATTATATAATTACTGATTGAACACTGTCTGACGTTGCTAGATTAAACACGGAGATATTGGGAGAAATGAGGCAAGTAATTCAATTGTAAGATGTTTGTGGAATTCTAACTCCTGTTAATTGAATTTAGAAATGTTGGGAAAGGCTCACTACTTAGAGTTGGGGTTGTTAATGAACACTTATTAAGACCTTTAGGTTGATGAAAATTTTACAGTCAAACCTGTATATAGGAACACTTATTAAGACCTTTAGGTTGATGAAAATTTTACAGTCAAACCTGTATATAAAAACACTTATTAAGACCTTTAGGTTGATGGAAATTTTACAGTAAAACCTGTATATAGGAACACTTATTAAGACCTTTGAGTTGATGACAATTTTACAGTCAAACTTGTATATAAGAACACTTATTAAGAATTTTAGGTTGATGAAAATTTTACAGTCAAACCTGTATATAGGAACACTTATTAAAACCTTTTGGTTGATGAAAATTTTACAGTCAAACCTGTATATAGGAACACTTATTAAGACTTTTGAGTTGATGAAAATTTTACAGTCAAACCTGTATATAGGAACACTTATTAAGACCTTTAGGTTGATGAAAATTTTACAGTCAAACCTGTATATAGGAACACTTATTAAGACCTTTGAGTTGATGAAAATTTTAGTCAAACCTGTATATAGGAACACTTATTAAGACCTTTGAGTTGATGAAAATTTTACAGTCAAACCTGTATATAGGAACACTTATTAAGACATTTGGGTTGATGAAAATTCTACAGTCAAACCTGTATATAGGAACACTTATTAAGACATTTGGGTTGATGAAAATTCTACAGTCAAACCTGTATATAGGAACACTTATTAAGACCTTTAGGTTGATGAAAATTCTACAGTCAAACCTGTATATAGGAACACTTATTAAGACCTTTGAGTTGATGAAAATTTTACAGTCAAACCTGTATATAGGAACACTTATTAAGACATTTGGGTTGATGAAAATTCTACAGTCAAACCTGTATATAGGAACACTTATTAAGACCTTTGGGTTGATGAAAATTCTACAGTCAAACCTGTATATAGGAACACTTATTAAGACCTTTAGGTTGATGAAAATTCTACAGTCAAACCTGTATATAGGAACACTTATTAAGACCTTTGGGTTAATGAAAATTTTACAGTCAAACCTGTACAGTGTGTCTCAAAAAATGTTACACTTACAAAAAGTTCAACATCTTTCATGATTTTGACTTTTTTTCCCTAAAATATACTTAGATACCAAAAGACCAGTCTTTCTCGAATAAATCCACACCATCAGATTCAAAATCCGTTCAAGATTAACTGCACAGGACAGATTTTATAGACGCATGTGAAATCTGATTTGCGCCAAATTCTCAGTGGTTGGACATGTGTTGATCAATTCTTTTTTGGTGTGAATGCTGTGGACAGCGATATCTTGATATGATCAATGATCCAGTCGTTTCTTTCCTGAATAGAAATACAAGATTTCGTTGTCAGAGTGTTTAATTTTGTTACGTATGATGGCAACAGGATGGTGCAAAGGCCAGTGGCAGATCGTTTGGTAGAACTCTTTGGAAATCAGGAGATAGCATTGAATTACCCAATGGATTGGCCCCCAGGGTCATCCCACTTTACATCCTTGATTTTTTAAAGGGCCTCGATCTGAAAGCGCTTCCGACATCATAAACTGACCTAAATGAACTTCTGCAAAAATAATTGATGGAATCAGAGTGATATTACAATGCATGTGCGCATGGGTAAGGGTACCTCAGATTTGCTTTGGAGAACATGTTGAGGGGACACATGTATATGT